AGAAACTCCAAGATCTGGCATCTCATCTCGGATCTCTCGAAATCCACACATGAATACCCAAGAAGAAAGATCCTTAGGATTACATTCAACGAAGTTTTATTGATATTAATACATTATTCAACTATGAAATTTGCAGAGCAATGTAGCTGTTCTGCAAAGTATAATCTCTGAAGACAGCTTTAAAGGTTTAATATTTTTCCTTCATAAATACACGTGATCACTAATAACAAAACCAATTAGTAGAATTTTTATGAATATTTATTTAATCTATTATTGAATGCTCTAAATATTTTCGTCAACCTTTTGACTTACAATTTATTAAGAATATCCTCTATTTACTTCATGAACTCTGTAAATTAGTTGAGTTCTAATGAATTTCTCATTTTGTTAAAAGTGAGCTATAAAAACTGTATTTTTCTTTAAACACATATAGAATTGTTATTGGTTTTTGAAATCGAAGAAAAACTGCAAAGTCGAAAAAATTTGAAGAACTGTTATGCACTAATATTTAAATACATTTTTGAATGAAGAAAAGTAATGGAAATTCAGTTTAACTGTTCGAAGACAGATTCGTTATCGTAAGTACCTATGTTATATTCTTCTCTTGGGTATTCATGTGTGGATTTCGAGAGATCCGAGATGACATGCCAGATCTTTGATTTTCTTTCAAACTCGAATATTTCATGCTCTGAAAAGGGTGTATAAAGACTGGTTGCAGTGTGCTGACAAGTTCAGAACTCGACAATATAAGCCAAAGTTCGCTTCATTTCGACATATCGAAATCAGTCTTGCCTGTAGTCATGATGTATGAGGTAAAAGAACCCTCAGTTTTAAAATCTGATGCCAATCGTAGATTAGCCTGGGTATACAGCAATCATTCATTAGAAATTTTCGACAAGAAAATTAATAGTTTGATTAAATTTGGAAAGTATTTTTTTTCTATCAGATACTTTCACATTATAAAAAGAAAGCTCATTTACTTATCGATAGCGATACTTGAGCTACTAGTTAAAAACATTATTGAAACAAATTCAGTCTAGATTGATAACATGAGAAAGTATAGCATCTGGCTCATAATATCATAACAAGATTATTCTTTGTGGCGTTGGAAGAGAGAACGATATTCTTCAGGCTCATTAATAAATACATGAATCAGTTCCTTTGACTTTTGAAACTTCTTCAATAATTTATATTAACCTTGGTCGGCATCTAATGACGGTAGAGTTCGTAGCTCATTTTCAGTTTAGTTTTATGACTATATAATAACTTTTGACGAAATGCTTATGATTTGTAGTACTGAATCTAAAGTCACATATGAATAAACCAAGCAATTCGTTCATGTGCTTTGTACACGGTATTACAGTACAAACGAAGGTAGGACAAAGTCTTATTTTTTTCAAGGTCAAGTCAATGTTAAAGAATTATCTAAAAATAGTTTTAATAGAAAAAGGAATCCAATCAACAATTACATCATTTAGGTGGGAAGAGTTCCTATCAGCAAACGAGGCAATGAACTAGTTCTTGGTAGAAGTTTTTGTATGGAATCTACTGTACGAAACCAAAAAGTTCATAGTAAACTCCAAATTTGATGCTCACTTACGCATTCAGAAAATTATCGATGTGTCTTATAACTAGTGACCTCTGATTTTAATATATAAATCAAAATAAAAGACTTCGAAGATAAAGAATGGTTTTGTTTCATATATGTATATATTATATTTTCATTCATTCGATTAAATAAAAAACACAAAGAATAAGTATGACATCGATTCCAGTAGATGATGAAAATGGTGATATAGCTTCAAAAGTTACTGCAGGATTTGCTAAAGCAACTGGTATTGATACTGGAATCGCTATTCAATTACTTAAAGATAATGGAAGGAATATTGATCAAGCTTTAAAAGCTACATATGAAGCTAAAGAAGATGGTCAATCAATAATGGATACGAGACAAAATTGGAAAGATTCAAATGGAAAAATATTTTAAAATTTTATCGTGGAATACTGATACAACGGATAGTGATGAAGTTGCACTAAATGAGTTAATTAAAAAGCGAACAGAAACGATGATTGAAATTTTATTTCGGTAAGAACTATTAAAAAAAATTATCATTTTTATTTTCATTTTTGAATTTAATTCTTCATTGATAAAGAAAAACCTGATGTTATTCTATTACTACAAGTTGGAACATTTGCATTGACATTAATCATCACATGTCTTTCATCACTATACGATGATGAATCAATTCAAATTGGTAGCTGAAAAGAAAACATATCATAGATTTAATTGTAATTAATAATATCGTTTTACTTTTAGATTCATCTAATAATTCAAATTATGTATCAATATATACACGAAAATCAATTTTAAAAAAGAAAAGTTTGTCTATTATTAAAAGTTCTGAAAATTGGAATATGCTTAAAGTTGAAGTAATGTGTTTTTCTTTTGTTTCTTTTAATGAATAAAAAATTCTTTTTTTCTATTTACAGGTTGAGTATAAGAATTCAATCAACATTGATCTATTTGATGCTTTTATTGATGAAAAATACATATTCATATTGTTTCGAACAAATTAATCAGAATAATCCAAATCATATTGTCTTATTTGGTATCAGTAGTCAAGTTAGTTTAGATTAGTTTATTTTTCTGTCGTATTTATTAAAGTATTAATAAAAAGATTTCTGATTCATTTTGGAATTCTGATACTATTAATATTGACGATTTATGGCAAAAGACAGATCAACGACCTGAAACAACATATACATGTGATCCTGCATTAAATTCAAATACGTATAACGGGTAATAATGAACCTCAACGTTGTGATAGAATTTTCTTTCGATCGTCAAATCATCAATTTAAACCTGTTCACATAGAATCACAAGGTATTTAACATACCAAAACGTCAGATGTTATTTTTTTATGTGCTCATTGGGCTATTCAAGGTTATTTTGATGTTGATAATTAAGATATTTACAAATTTTTATTGAAATAAATAAATTATTCAAGCTTCTCTCTTTTTTACTAGCAAGAAAAGATTAAAATCTTAGTCATCGGTTTATATCGTAAGGAGTGTGAAGTGTTAACATTGGTTTTTTGTTCCAGAGTATAGACAATAAAACTAAGTCTTTTTCTGAATACACTTCAAAAGAATAACAACTATACCTTGTCTGAATATAATAAAACAAATTATCAGAACTATTCAAATCAACATTCTCTAATATATGTTGAATATATTAATGATTAATTGACAATTACTGTTAAAACGGTCAACCTGAAAGATTTTTAATTGTTTTATACTTCGATAAGTATTCTCTAACACTGATAAGAATATAACATTTTTGACATGTATTTTTACTCCTTA